ATAGAGAGAGAGAGAGAGAGAGAGAGGGATTTCAAGGGCTATTGGATCTTTGTGGAAACCAGTAAAAATATTATCAAATTTTGAAATAAAATAAAAAAAATTATTTGTAGTCTTTTTATTATATTTTTTTATCATTTTAATAAATATTGGAAACTGTTTTGGCCGTGAATACTTATTCTTACATTTTTACTTCTTTTTTATTTTTTTAAAATTTCATTGATTATAAATTCATTTTTTAAATTATTTTTCACTACTACTCTTTTAACCTCATTTAAATGTGTTTTGTTTAATTTTATGTTAAATATGTTTCCAAGTTTTTTTATTTTTTAACACTTCTTGACACTGCCAGACCCTACCCGACTAGGGGCCGAGTGACTTGGAACTCAGCCCAAATGACTCGACTACTCAGGCTTGCACCATAGCCGATTCCATCCCCGATTCATGGTTTCCTACACTGGTGGAAACATTGAACTCTATGTCGCATGTTTTTTACGCAATGCGTTCTTTTTGGAAGTCTTGGACTATAATGCATATGTTTCTAATGTTTTTGTAAAGGAAAATTGTTTAAGGCAGATTGGACCGCATTTCTATATATGCCATCGAGAAAGTGTAAAGCATCCATCTTAAAGATGGATGCAAGTAGGTGTTCCATCTAAAAATAATGGAAACTAACAGTCCAAAATGTTTTCTTACTAGAATTATTATTTCTAGTTTGTGAAATTTATTTATTTTTCCATATTCACGATTTCCATATTAGATATTACATGTCTTTAAAAATTAAGTCTTAAAATTCATCTCAAAAATAGATTTAATAAGAGGCCCCCGTTTCTACATACGAGGGCTTGGCCGCATAAAAACCCAATCCTTTTGTAAATAACCAATTTGCCCTCGAAAATACTCATGACGAAAATTTCAACGTCGTATGGCAAAGAGATATCAAAATTGACAAAATACGGTGAGAGCTTAAAAGTGACCAAACTACCCCTGGTTGGGTTCTTCCCTTCAAACTGAGGGGAACTCCATGAACCCCTGTTGAAGGACATTGCCAGAGAACAGTGTGGCATTTCATGTAATACTGCGCTATGTTACATGGCGTTTTTTGAGTACGATAACCTCCATAATACCCAATATTTACAGTAGGGGGAGAGTGCTTTATGAATTACAAAATTTCTACTATATATTACTCTCCGTTAGTGTTTGCTATCTAAGAGAGAGAGAGAGAGAGAGAGGGAGAGATCTATTAGATAAGTGTCTTGCGTTTTGCGGTAATATTATAATTAAACTTTAAAGATATTGTGTACCCTCATGTATGGGCTGGGGCCGAGTTACGTGGCCGGGTCAGAGTTTCTTTTGGGATGAGAGAGTTTTTGTGCGAGTGAGAGAGAGAAGAGAGAGAGAGTCCTTATGAATTACAAGAACCCGACGAGATATTACTCACTGTTTACTGTTTAGAGAGAGAGAGAGAGAGTAAACTTTGAAGTAAAATGACTGATCACAATCACGAGAATGGCACTTACAGCACGGGGAGAATATTTACAATTTGCAGGCTTTGAACTCATCCTTTAGCCCAATACAATGCATAAAAACAAACACCAAACCGAAGAACCTGCACACATAATCCAAACAACACCTGCAAATATTTTTCGCCCTCTCTAATGATTTTCACCGCCCCAAAACGCTTGTCTTTCATCCACAAAAACCATTATTCTTACACAAAAAATGCCCAAGAAGTACTACATACAGCCGACCCATATTTCGTCAAAAAAAAAACAGAAAAGGGAAAAAAGTCATGGCTCATCAATAGGAGGTCATGAGAGTGTATTGAGAAAAAGTGGAATGAAAAGATGGATGAATGACTCAGTCATCACAAGGACGAGAAAATTTAGTTATAGTTCTCGCGCCGATCAGTCCGAAAGCTAGCTCAGGAGGGACAGACAGAAGAAGGAGATAAGGCACAGAGATGAGAGAAAGAATATCACAAACAGATTGCTTAATTGCAACTATACTCATAACGGGGGGTTGGGTCTCTAGCACCGGGTCTTACAAGGTCAAGAAAAGGTCTTACAAGGTCAAGAAAAATGTAGCCCGGGTATGATCCAACAAACAAACACGAGGAGAAAGCTAAAGGTGGAGAAAACTAAAAATGAAAAAACACGACTAGAGAAAACATGAATACGAGAGAGAGACTAAGTGAGAGAACAAAAAATTGTAATAAAGCTCAGGTAGGATAGCGCCAGACTATACTGACACGATCATGTTTTCATGGTGGACTCCAATTCGAGCTAGCGAACCGCTAGAAGCGCCCAATCCGAACATGGTAGTAATGGAAACCTGCAATCCCAATCACTGAACTATAAGAAAGACCAATATGATGCATAATTTTCAAAATGATGAAATAGTCATACAGAAGGGTGAAAGTTATAAATCTTCCAAAATATAATATCAAAATAGTAAAATATTCTCCAAAATCTGATACATTGCTCTTCAGAGAAGAGAACAGCAGAAACAGTATGTATAACCAGGAACAAAATAAAAATATATAAAAAAATGATGAACAAATTATAGAAATGCAAACCGTTGGGTTCCAAACCAACCTGAAGAAACCCCAAATTTCTTTTAAATGGATCTTGCCGTTTTTTCGCTTTTATTTATCTCCCTCCCTCTTAGGGGAGGGAGATAAAGGAACTGTGCCTTGTGGATAACAGAATGAAGAGATAGGTGAAGTGAAGTGAAGTGAAGGAGAGAGAAATGAAAGGTTTGTAGAGGGAAATATGGGGGTTATGAAGGCAGCGGGCAGCACCCTGCCCCGATGGCCGGCCTGCCCGCCGGGCAGAAAGTGACAGGTGCATGACAGCAAGGAAGGAATGTAGCGAGAAGGGGGTGCTCTTCTCTTTTATGCCGTCATCTTTTGGCCCCTGCCCGCAAAACTGCCCGCACTGCCCACCCGCCTATTGCCGTCTTTACGGTCAGATTTTGTAATAACGGTCTTCGCTCGCCCCACTCTCACATTGTTATACTCTCTCAATTTTTCTTTTTTATTTTTATTTTTTTAAAAAGTTTATATAAGATTATAAGAAGCAAGATGCACTCCAAAGTCTGATATAAAGGAGTTCACGAAGTTGAAAAATCTCCCAATTGATCATGAGATATATATAAATATAAAAAAAAAATTTCATGTCTTAAAAGTCGTGCATATTGTAATTTTGATGTTTTTATAAATCTACACCTCCTGCAGTAGAAAAATGTAGACCCTCTCTGTCTCTTCTTTGTGCCTCTTAGATGCACGAACTGAATACTAGTCTCTCCTAAAACCGAAATAAAAGCTTGCACGTGAATGAATGTTTTTAATCAAATACATGTTTCCTATATGTAAACTCACAATATTATGCCTATTTTTGCTATGTTTCATTTATACATTGGTTTGTGCTCACCGTGCAGATAATCCCCAGGTTATGTTCTCTCAAATCTCAAACGTCCCTTCCAACTAAGTTAACACGACTTCTTATTCAAAATTGAAGAAGTTTACAAGTAAATAGAAACATGATCCTAGAACCCTAAGTTGACATTTTCTATTTATTAGAAGAAACAGAGTTTGACTGCTTGATCCCAGTGCCGAGTAATTGGGCTCGCACCCTGGCGAGTCCGAGTTACCATGAGTTGGGTGCCCACCCAAGGATATTAAAATTTTTTAAAAAAATCATAAATATCCTAAGAAAATAAGGAATTTTTTTTATTTTTTATTTTTATGTTTTCTATTATTTTGGAAAAGATTTGAAAGTGTTTTCCCATAAATATTTATTTTTATATTTTTCCATCTTTTTTTATTATATCTAAAACACCTCTCATCACAAGTTGATTTGTTAAGATCTATTTTTTTTTACCATTTTTTAACATCATTTTTATGTGTTTTGCTTAATCTAACTTTAGACATACATTTCTCCCCTTTTTTTTTTTTAATATTTTTTATAATTTTTTAAACATTTTTTTACTTCTACATTACTCAGCACTAATCGGGTCGAGTTCCCCAGTAGCGGTTTCCAATACCGAGAAGAAAGAAAAATAAATTCATGTAATCCATAGCAAATTCTAAAGCAAAAAATAAAAATAAATAAACAAAAAATCACAAATTGGACAAATTGGAAATTGTTTAATTATTTTCGAATTATAGGGCAAGTGAATGAGAGGGCATATTGGAAAATCCTCTCTTACTATGGACGTGTCGTGTGGGGAAGAGTGGAAAATCCTCATCCACAGTAGCAAGGGCGAAGCGAAAATTCGATCCGTGTCAGGCACTCGTGTATCCACACGTACGGAGGAAAGCATTTCACTATTTCTACATTGCCCCTCCCTTGCAAACTGGTGGCGCATGTAGCCTACATCTTTTCACTCCCAATTTTCCGGAAATTTCGGTTCCATTTCAAAAGTTGAGGATTCCCACCTCGAGGCCCTCACTATAAAAAAAATTGAATTTACTTCCACAAGCAAACAAAAATACCACCATACTTATTGTTTCGAAAATATTAGTTAGAGGCGCCGCACAAAGAGGGTTTGCAAATTCTAGTTGAAACAATGGGGTTAATTTGACCCCCAATTATTTCAAGGAAAATGATTTGATAGGGTTGCAGCCCATTAAAATAAGTAAAGCTTCGCCTCATAATTTTTCGAAAATTGTAATTTAAGCATTCAAAAACTTCACATTGATTATCTTAGCTTCAACATTATGGTTGTGAAAAAAATTAGGATTATAAACTCTAAAAGTAGTGTATATTGTAATATATTATCTACATTGTCTATTTCGCCCTAACAATAAATTTTCACAGATCCCCAAGATCTTGTACTATCTTTTAATTTCAAATATTATTATCGGTTTTGAAATTTGATTTTAAAGTCATTATGAAGGTTTTCGTTGTCACGAGTGCCTTCAGGATGAAGATTTGAGTTGAGGCTTTTTTTTATTTTTATAAAAATTAGGCCTTATAAAAACCTCATCCTTATTTCAATACAATGTTCAAATTGTAAGGTAGGCAACAGACAAGGCCCGTCTAGCCAGAGTTCGGCCCATCCTCGACCCCCAAAGAAGCCCTAGTGATGTCGAGGCAGATCTGCCCAATAGAAAACAAACCATAAAAAAAAAAAAAAACGCTCCAGGTCGAGCGGGCCTTGTCATTGCCCTAACTAGGGCCTGGCCTAGCCCTAGTACTTAGACCATGCCCAGCTATGTCCTAGCCCTCAAGCCACATTTGAGGGCCCACGCCCTCCGGGCTGCAAAGCCATTGCAAGCCCAACAATGAGCTCACAATACAGGACATAATCACTGGTGGAATACCAAAAAGACGGTGGAACTAGCCTCCTATGAAAAACTGTGACTTCTTGATATCTGTTTTTTATCAAAGAATAGCGGTGTTATTGCGTTCTGTTTTCCTTTGTTTTATAATATCGGGGGGCCTTGGGAATGGAAGCGGGTTGCACGCGGTCAGGTGGGTGGGGGTTTCATGAACCCGGTCTTCCAGAAATGCCCATGGTCAAATGCCCTCTGCTTTCCATTAAATACTACTTGTAGTATAAACGTTTCCGGCAGAGCCGACGGTCAACGCGCAGACCGGCCTGTTTGTTGGCAGCCGCGGCGGCGAGAATATTCCGGCTGCTCAGATTGATGGTGGCCTATAGGGGAAAGAGGGACTACCAAGGGTATAATGCTCCCTGGGGAATATATCCTCTTTACCCCCTCAGTAAAAACCCGCCTGCTGTTAATTTTAGGACCCCAACCTGCTGTTAATTTTAGGACCGCAAACCCCACCTACTATTAATTTAGGACCTCAAATTTTACGGTAATCGGATATAACATTTTCAATCTATAGTTTAAATTTAATAAAAAAAATTTGCTAATTGTATCACACATGAAAAAAATAATATCTCAAGATTGAATAGACAGCCTAATTTTTAGAGAGCGAGATTCAAGTGTTAGAAAATTAAAATTTAATTTTTTTTTTTCTTTTGACGATAATCACTAGTGATTTTTAGTGGTCTCTAAAGTTTGAAATAGAAAAAATCTTCCAAATAAGTCTTTTGACCGGGGGAGTATAGTATATGTGCCTTTCTCAATTTCTCTGTCTTGGTAGGGCTCTAACTCTCTTTTGCTGGATTGATCAGATGCGTAATTACCCAAATGACCTCTATCGTTTACTTTGGGCAGCTAGGCCTCTCATGAGAAGCAGCTTTAAGGCTTTTTTTTCTTGGAGTAAATGTTGGGCCTCTCTTTTGTTAGAGTGGGACGTTTGTCTTTGTTTATGGTAATGCATTGGGGAAGACAATCCCGGCGTTTTTTTTCAATTAGTTTAGGAGTTAGTGCGTTTTTTTTCAATTAGTTTAGGAGTTAGTTTTTTTAAAATTTTATTGATGTAGTTATCAATGAGAATAGAAACTACAACGTGGTGACTAGAGTACGGGGTACTACCACCACGGCTCCAACATCTTTCCCAAGTGGCGCTTTGTTCTCTGTATAAGTTGTGTAATTGGCGTGATCTTTCTAATCGCCAGCATGCCTTCATATTTAATTTAATTTTATGAGAATGATAGAGTTGATAGGGCTAATTATCATGATGTTTTTTTTAATAGGATGATTTTGATAATTTGACATGGATTCTAATCTTATGTAGTGTGTCAATGAATCGAGATGCTTCAATTCCTATTTGATGGGGTGAGCTCTCCACGACAATCAATCTAACACCTCATAAGTGAGTGCTCAATATACCAAAAAAAAAAACAATAACTTATGCATTTGATGTGTGCTTGTGTTGTAGGTTTGAGAATCCAATTTTATTTTTTTAAATTATTTAGTTTTTTAACTAACAACTTTAATAAGACATTCTTCTTCTTTTTTTGAAAGTTGGTAATTAATGAAAGTAATTGTGAACATTAAAAAAAAAAAACTAAACTTACTCCGATCATGAAATTTGGGGATTTCAAATTTCGTGAGCTTTTATAACAAAAACAACTTTAAAGCCTTAGTGATGAACCATATAAATTCAATGTTTATCAATTGTTTTGATGATTTTGTATTCCATCTCTACTGTTTATTTTTCTTCCAATTTGTTTGTGCGCAGTTGCTCCGTGGGTTGCCATAACCACACATTCGCCATTTAAGTACGTGGTTGTGGTGATCCATGGGTGCAGTTCGTATAGAGTCGAGGCTCTTAACACTCAAAGTAAAATGCACATTTAAATAGTGTGAGAAATATAGTTTTAATATTGAAAATCTTTACGATAGCCTTAAAATATTTTTTCATCTTTAATTATAAAATTAAGGCTTAAAAAATAGTGTAGATCGAGCAGATCAATGAAAACTAGAAAATCTTGAAAATTGATAGTCCAAAAATGTGTTACAAGATGCACTATTTTCAAAACCAGAAATACATTGTTTTCCCATGTCCATGCATCTTGATGTTGAGATAATCAATTTGAGGATATTTGAGCATCAAATAACATATTCTAATGAAATTATTGAGGTGGGCTCTACTTCGATTGTTTGGAGCCTCAGCTCTGTATAAACGTTTTCCATAGTTAAAAGAGAAGTCTCACGACTAGGCATACAAAGTCATACAAGGAAAAGCTATATAGCCTAAGAAAAGGCCCAAGACAAATTAAAAAGTTCATATTTAAGAAAAGAGCAATGATATTATGCAATAGTTGTAGCATAATATGATGCAACAACGTTAAAAAACTATTTTATTACCATTTGTTTGATCCAAATTTTGAAATATATACTCTTTTCATTCTAATGAACAATAAAAAAAAAGGAAAAATCGAAAACATAATCTAAAAAATATTTTTTTAGCCTAATTGACGTAGGCAATTCATTTTTGTGAAATGCTTAGATCTAGGCTTTAGAAG